GCAGAGGGTAACTTCCCGTATGAGCCTCATCACCACAGACTCGAAGATCTCATTCATGATAGATCTTCGAGTCTGTGGTGATGAGGCTCATACGGGAAGTTACCCTCTGCCTCTAATTGAAGAACATTGAACATTGAAAAAGGAAAAACAAACAGAAGTGTAAATGTATGGATGTGAAAATATTCAGAGTACTCAAACAGATCGGCAGTTTGCATAAAAATTTTTCGTTTGATAACCGGAGGGAATTAATATTTCCCACCTGTCCCCACCCTTTTGGGGGTGACTGACTTACTCTCGTAATGTTTGGTTCGTGTTAGTTTCATCGATGTCATTCACGAATCCAGCTTCATTTGCTACAGACGTAGGTCGAATTGGTAAGTTCCGTTGTGTGTACGCACGTAAGTAAGCAAATGTTTCTCTTATCTGCAGAAGCTTCAGAGATATTCTGCCACCTCCCCTTCGTCGTAGCATAAATGTGGGGCTATTTAAACGGAAATGAGAAGTCGGATTGTGGTAAAAATGTGATTAGTTGTCACAGGGGGATAGTCAAGTATTTTAAAGATCTATCGTATATCAAAGCAAGACAGGACATAATTTAGCATTTGGTCGGCAGTTACGCTGCCTCAATCAACTCGGTCTCAAGTTGGTCTTAAGCTCTGTCCGATGCTGACATGGAGGTTGAAGGTCGAGGCTTAGTTTAACAAAACTCCTTCATCCTCGGGGACCGTCGTAAAGCGGTGTTCTACGCTGATCAATCACTTCCTAACATATATTTACTAACATCTGCTTAGGTCTTTGCGCCTAATGTGACGATGGTTCCTGGTGCACCAGTTGCAAAATCAAAAGGCCACACTAAAAAAGCATCCAGAATTTATTTATAAAAATGACTAATAAACTTCATACAGGTACTGTACTTTCATCTTGTCCATGTCCCATTTACTCTTCTTCATTTTTGAGAATCGAAGGCCGTCGCTTTTGTATTGAGTCCATCAGCCTTTGCCAATTTCTTTTAACAAATGCTGCACCGTAATTCCACTGTCGAGGTGGCTAATTTATCACTATTTCTAACACATGGTAAAGTTTTCGATTATATTCCAATCTCAACTACCGGGCAATAATTGAATGAATTCTAGATTACACTTAAACCATCCAGAAACTGCATAAATTTAAAAGATCAGTGACCAAGGACGTGAATCAATGAACAGATAGACAAAATATGGCAATTTCACAAGCACTGAAATTATGTCATCTTGGACGTTGATATACTGACTGCAAGCACATCACCCAGTGAGAAGGAACCGGTGGAAAGAAGTTTAGTCTACCCGCGCTGTACGTGAACCTTGTTTGAATACTTTATCATTTTCTAGAATGGATCTTACTATCTCAAGCTGGATTTCTTGCAACATAAATTCCTATTCTGGTGAATAGCCATAGTGAACCTGAAAGATATGGAAACTCAGACATTCAAGGTATGGTTCAGATTGGACTCCGTATCTTGTATAATTTGCAGTAGCCATGTGAACCAGAAAGTTAGGGAATTCGAGGTTTGATTTACATCGTTGAGTTCAAATCCGGACCGAGTGGTCTATAGAAAATGTTTTCTCTCATTTTTCACAGCATTGGTATCGTCCCGATTCCGGACCAGTTTTTATTTTCCGGTCTTGTCTATCCGGATTGATTCCATCCTCCTAATGTCGTCATATTTGTTTTTGAAAAGCGTTATGATCCCCTGAACAGACTCTAGATGTTGACCCTTCGAAGTATCCCCGTGAATGCCTCCGAACTTTGTATAGATCCTCCAAGTTTCCCTACACGAATTCTAATCAATATAAATAAGGAAGATCTGCAAGAGCCTTGGTATATGGAAAGTGAATTTTCTCAATACTGCTATCCTATCACCGGCCTGTGATGTACCAATGTCAAGAGCTAGAATGGAGCTGAAATTGAATTATTTCTTGTGCGCTATAGCCTTCTTCAAGCATCGATTTGTACTTGTTGGTGGTAATTTGTTTGCAAACTTTTCACAATCAGCCGAGGTAACATTTTCAGTGCGTGTAACGGGGCGATGCTCTGCTTTTGTCCGTTCAATTACATATATATGCTCTTCTCTAA